GCACTCCAAAATAACTGTTCTGAACTTTTTAGTATTGTTTCGACTTTGCCTTCGCAACTTGGTCGCAGTTTCACTGAGACCTTGTGGAACGTACCTAGTCTCGTGTCCTCTGCCATAGTATTCGTGATTTCCAGCATTGGCTAGGCATATTCTCAAACGATTCGCCGGCTTCGTCAATGAGAGGCGCCATAATAAGTAATTTGTCACTGACAAGTTGTAACTCTAGGCTTACGATGTCGCCTCTCACTAACGATGCCGACGAAACGTTTGGGAATGTACCCAGCCAATATTCCAATGGTGGAAATCACGAATATTCTGCCAGAGGGCACGGGACTAGGTATATTCTACAAGGTCTCATTGACACTGCGATCAAGTTGTGGAAACAAAGTCGTACCAACACTATAAAGCTAAAGAGGACTTCAACCATATGGTCTTCATATCTACGTTATGAACTTTATTCTAAAACCATCTTAATCTGAAGATCTTTGTAACATGGTATCTGAAAGGGAACTATTGATTCTCCAGGGTTGCAGAGAACTACAACTATCTAAGTTATAGAAGTTGTTTGACTTCGCAAGAGGGAGACTGATAAGACCTAGGAAAGGACTGCGTAACAACAGGGCAGACTTATCAACATTCCCAGCGCTACATCTAAATATGCACGGTAAAAATTGTAACGGTGAAGATGTGATGCGAGGATATTTGAAATGTGAATAGCCCAGGACAGAAGGAGAGATACCACAACTGTTTGTACACTTTTGGTCAAAGGATCGGCTTCACTTGTTCCTTTGACGAGCTGTTGTATGGTGTTAAGAATGGCAAGACACATTGACGATGCCGGCGAAACGTTTGGGAATCTATCACGTCCACGGTGCTCTAGAAATGATCAAACATACAATGGACTCTGGACTAGGTGCGTTCTTCTAAGTCTTCCTACCAATGTGACCAAGTTGCGAAAACAAGGTCGAACAACTTCTATACAACGACGGATGACTACGATCACACAAAAGGCTACACCATCTTGATCTTCATATATAACAAGTTATGATTTACTAAGCGGAAGATATTGAAGGCTAAAGATTAACTTTTTCGGCGAGTATATTCAGTTAATTCCTTCATTATTCACTTCCACAGAAAATAAATGTAAGCAGAGCATGAAGGTAAATAAATAAATAAATATTGTCGAGACTGAAAGATTATTTTGTAGCAGTCAATGTGCGAAGAACCAAGGACATGAAGATGTAGGGCAATAATTTAGTAATCATAAGAAAGGGTAATTATTTAACGTAGTTAAGACTGAAGGATAAATTTTAAAACATCCTTTAAATATGTACGAAATCAAAAGGACCTTCATAACCTATCATTTGGGGCTTCTACATCCAAGAACTGTTCGAGGAACACAAATTTCGACAACCAGGCCATATTAGACGATTGAAGACCATTTAACCAAATTGGTCAGATCTGTTATGAGTTGACTCATTATGGAGTGATTCTAGAAAATCACCTGTAAGTCTGTCTCAGTGTGTTCCTACTAGCCTGTGGTCATGCATTCTTGAAGAATACTACTCTCGGGGCTAACGTGTCCACTTATCCAAGCTATATAGGCTAGAATATGATCATTGAATATTACCATTAGTTCTTTAGGAGGTTAGTTTTTTTTGAAGACACGAAGGGTAGCTGAGTTTTGATGGAACGCATGAGAATGCTCGATTAGTGGATTATATCGTCGATCTCACAGCAAAACGACGGCCGATTCCTACTGCTACATAACCCTCTGGCTTTATAATACTGATCGGTTTAACGCAGTCGACGGATTATCCTTTCGGGCAGTCTTACTATGCTTTCTTTCGTCGTGACAGTCATCGCCATAACTGGAACCCATTGAAAAAGTTTCAAGTTAACATTTGGCCAAAATCTATTTGCTTCAAATTCTTATATGAATGATACTTGTCATATAAGAGACGAAAGTTTGGCCCGGTTTACTCCAAAACGAGGGAGAATGTGTCGGGGACTGCGTTAACCTGAACATAGTATTAAGGTCAAACGGCTGTAGAACAACGGTAATTAGTCATCGTCTGGTGAGATCAACTAACGAATATCTTCATCATGCACTTTTGTACGAAATGAAAGTTTTAACAATAAATTTTATTCTGTTTTACTTTTGAGTATAGAAAATTATTTTCGATGACTCATTCTCACACTGCTCTTACCATTAAATAATTATATACCAAAAAGCTTAGGATGCTTTATATGCCATAATTGAAATATCAAATGTTTTTCTTTCAAGATACAATACGAAGTTGGAAATACTAAATTCGTTTGTTAGCTAATTT